TCACTTTTCAAGCTTTCTCCTTTCCACTGTCCTCCTTGGGCTTCAAATCCTCCTCCTTTGTTACTTGACACCTGCTCTCTTTCTATATGAGGCCTATAGAAGGAACAGATCAGACATCCAGCCTTTGCTTATCAATGGAGATCGAGTGGAGCAAGTGGCCAGTTTTAAGTTTCTGGGTGTTACCCTAAAAGAGGACCTGACCTGGGGTGCTCACATTGCAGAGCTGGTCAAAAGGGCCCAGCAGATATTATACAACCCAAGATTTCTCAGGAAACAACAATTGAATGAGAAACTGCTGGTGATTTTCTACCACTGCACCATAGAGAGTGTCACATCCCCATGGCATGCTGGAGCTGTGACACCGAGCGTTTTGCTGCATCTGAGTATTCTACCATGGTAGGAAGCACCTGCTGGCTGACCAACACCAGGTCGGAATTGCCGATGGTGATGGACAACGAGCCCCGATGACCTCAGATGCTGAACTATCACAAGTTGCAGGCAACTATCGGCAGAGTGATGAACATGCTGACCATTCAAACAATGACCTCGGGTGGTGAATATACACTGGGAGGGCACAGGGAAGTTGGTGAAATATGGAAAGTGTGCTGTGGCGAGGAGATGGTAAAGGAGGGTGGATAATTAACAGAAGAATGCATGGTATCGAGAGGTACATAGTAACTGGAAATTAAGCAGTAGCGGTCATGGTGGATAAGCCCTTTACGTTATTATCTGGTGGATAAATACAGCTCTGGCTGCGAGGTGCTCCAGAGCTGACTTTACTATCATTTTTGATGCTTGTTGTTACCCGAACCCAGAACAATATATGGACGAATAAAAACTTTTCAACTTGCCTTGGAGCTTTATTTCCTTTTCTTTCTGGTCTTCGGCTGAACAGCTGAGCGAGAGTATCTTAACTTACTGCACCTGTGTATGGTTTGCCAATTGCACGGTGACAGGTAGGACAGAACTCCAGAGGGTTAACGTCATTGTCATTGCATCATTGGTTGCCCTCTCCCCTCTTTGGAAGAGCTTTATAGCTCCCACTGACTTAAGAAAGTTCAAAACATTCTCAAAGATCCATCTCATTCTTGGCACCCTTTTTTTGAACTATTACCATCTGACAGACAGTACAGGATAATAAAAACAAGGACAAATAGATTGAAAAACAGCTTCTATCCTAGGGCAGTAACTCTACTGAATTCTACTGTATAGTGTAATATAATGCAATATCAGGGGTTTTCAATTCAACGTGAAGGATGTGTGTTTGTGTTTATTTTCATAGTCATAATATACACTGAAGATGGTATTTAATTTCATTGTATGAGGTTCAATGACAATAAACTAAATTAAATTAAACTTATGAGAACAATTTCCTTTCAGAATCTGATACCTCCTTTCAGCTCCTGATGAGCAAGAATATTTAACAAACATTTGACAAGTTGAGTGCTTTACAAGGTACTTGTTTCCACATCATGCTTTTCTTTTGTTTCTTTTAATATTTCCACATAGCTTCCATAACAAGAGTCACTTCCTACTTTATCACATTTGCCAATGATTGCCTTAAGCTAAGTTTCTTTTATCTTGGCTATGACAACATACAGAGTCCCATGACTTGCTGACAGTACATCACACCACCAGAGGTTTTTCTTTTGATCTGAATTACTGAGTGAGAAACAATGTATAGTGTGCAGCTGATACTCACTATAAGTGTATTTTTGAGTGTGCAAATATTTTAAATTATCCTATTCTTAGGCTCTTAGTTAGATCTTTTGAAAGAAAAAGCAAGGTCAAATTATCTGTTACCGAGTCCATTCATAATTCTAATGTGATCAACAGTAATGGAGCTGGAAGGGGAGATGTTTGAATAGTGCTGTTTTAAATATCCTGTAAGGGTGTCCAATTATCTTCAAGAATGAAGGCTCTCAACATTAATTTCAAATTAAACCAATACAATATCCAAAATGGCTGGCATTTCATAAGATCACTAAATATTTGTTAGATTTATTTCCAACTTTTCCTCCAGGAGGCAACTGATAAGGGATCTTATTTTATCCCACAACTCCCTATGGTAAGTTGGGCTGAGAGGTTAGTCAGTAAATTTCCATGGTCGACAATGGACTTGAATCTGGTTCTTTCCAGTTCAGGTCCAAACGTTTGAAATATTTGATGGTACATGATGGTAGCCTGAGAAAGTTGTCAACCTTTATGTATATGGGATAGGTGAATTTTCCTTTAATCTGCTTAACCTTTTAAGGCCCCTAAGGCAATAGCTAACATAACACGATTGTGGCAGTGAATTTCATATCTATCCATGTATCATGTATGAGTGGATTAAAATTTTCTAAATAGTGCAAAGATGAAGAACACCCATGCACAAATATATTTAATATGCAACCTGAGCAGATTAGGACATGGCTACACCTATTCAAATGTTGATCATATAAGAATTAGCCGATTATACATTGACTTGTAATTAGTATACTGTATTATTTTAACTCTGCTTTTAAACAACCTTTTTCAAGTAATAAGTTTTCCTTCAAAGTAAACTTCTTTGACAATTTTCTTTGCTGAAAAAATAAGATCTAAATCAAATAAATTTACTAAAAGTACAGGTAGTCCTAGACTTATAACAGTTCATTTAACAGTTCAAAGTTAGAAAGACACTGCAAAAGTGACTTATGGCCATTTTCACACTTACAACTGTTGCAGTATCAGTTGCATGCAATCAATATTCAGATGCTTGGCAACTGATTCATAATTATGAGGGTTGCAGTGTCCCAGATCATGTGATTACCTTTTGCAACCTTCTGATGAAGTCATTAGGGAAGCTAGTTTCACTTAACAACTGTGTTACTAATTGCAGTGATTCACTTAACAACTGTGGCAAGAAATGTTGTAAAATGGGGCAAAACTCACTTAACAAATGTCTCACTTAGCAACAAAAATGTTGGGCTCAATTGTGTTCATAAGCCAAGGACTATCTGTATTGTCAATCAATTGCAATCCAATTGAAAAGAATTTTAGCTAGCAGAAATGTTAAAAATTCAGGAGGAACAGAATAACAGAAAAGTAAAATGCCACCCAAATGGTATAAAAAGTATAGCTTTCATAAGAGGTTTCATAGCACCAGGATTAAATTAAATGTGAGCACAAAAATATGCTGTCACATTTTTATAATTATAAGTTTATGAATAGCAATGAGGAACAAGCTTTATTGCTCATACTATTTTCTTGCAGAGTATCTTGCAGAGGGTGTTTGAAAAAACTTTGTGTGGAGGTGACGTTAAGGCTCCTTCACCTCCATACAAAGTTTGCTCAAACACCATTCCAAGATGACACTCTGCAAGAAAATAGTATGAGCAATAAAATTTGCTCCTCGTTGCTATTTGTAAGCTTATAATTATAAAAATGTGACAGCATATTCTTGTGCTCACATCTAATTTAATTTAAGGCAGGTAGTAACAGTAGCAGCTCTTGCTATTTTCATAATTCCCTAAGATTGGAATGTAATAAACACATAGTTCTCATGCTACTTGGTTTAACTCTTGGTGGACTTCCAACTTGAGAAATTTTTTATAGCAAAACATAATAATAAAAAGCATAGCATAAACTAAAAGAAATAAAAGAACCAAGAAGGAAAAGATGAAGTTTGAATAAATATTTAGGAGATAGACAATTTTTGCGTAACTGAAGATCATGCTATATTAAAAGTGTGAAATCTACACAATAATTACATATTTTACAGCGATATAGTGTATATCATTTCATAGTGCATATAGTCATGTACTTTTTAGCATATAAACAAAAAAAATTATCCACAGGGAAAGGACAAAACTAAGACGATACCATGGGTGGGACTAATATAAGCAAAAAGTAAACTCTTCTTTCAAATCCTCCCCTCAGATCCTTTTCTTCCTGGAGAGTCCTGTCCGTAACTCTAAATTGTTTTGGTATCAAGAAAACAATTGTGATGTAACAGTTAAGATGTAGACTGGGAAAAACAAAATAGCCATTTTTCACTGGGTAACCTTAGGCCTGTTGCTCTCACACAAAGTGTAAATGTGAAGATAAAAAAGGTGGATTCTTCAACATGTTTACCTTAAGCTTGCAAAGGAAAGTGGGATAAACATATAATTTCCACCTGTCAGTCAAAAGTAGGGATTCCAGAAATCATGCATTTTATAAGTCTAAAACTCCAAATTAGGAAAAAAGCAGATCCAGAAAAATGTATCTCTTTCTCTGAGATGCTAAGAAACCCCAATGGGATAATCGTATCTCTTCTTACAACTTGTTTCTATTGTTTTTTTTTACAACACCATGGACCATAGCCTATGTTTTTTCCCCACACCCCTAAAATAGATAACAGATAATCAGAGTTGGAAGGGACCTTGTAGGTCACCTAGTCCAACCCCCCGCACAGTGAGCATGATACTGCATCTTCTCTTGGTATAAAATTGATCCCTTTTCTACCTGTGTTTGATATTAGAGATTACTCGATACATATGGAATATTACTGTTGAAGCAGCAAATCAGTACAACAATGTTGTGACATCCACAAAGTGTGGGATGGGGGAAGAGAAGGAAATGCTTAGCAATTTCATGGTTGTGGTCATGTTGTTCTTACTCCAAGTTACCTTCATTAGATCACTTTGTTATGAAACAGAGCTCAACAAGCAAGAAAAGCAGAGGGATTTTCATGGGGAGGAAAGATAAACAAAGGAGGGACTTGAGAGAAGAAAATGGCTGTTGAGAAACATTAAGTACTGTAAATCTTCTTGGACCTTCTCAAAACTCTGTCATGCAACTCTGTCATGCAACTAATAGCAAATAATAATCACCCCAGCCACCTGCCTTCAAATATTTAAGGCTGCAAATCCTGAAGATGTACAATTCACATTTAAATAGAATAATCATAGAATAACCAGATCACAGATAATCTTTAAGCACAGAAAAGCTTTTGCCAATCATAAAATCAACCATAAATCCAGACAACTACTCACCTTCCCCATGACTTTTCCTGAATTTTTGCAGGTCAACTGTTGGAGGCCTGTTAGGCTTTTGTGGGGCTGGTCCCAATATCATTGTTGAAGGTAGTGTTTTTCGTCTGGGCAAATTTTTGTCTTTGTCTTTCTCTTCTTTTCCAGTATTATTGGCCCAAGGTCCCGTCGTAACTGTTCGAGATGAATTGGCCAGTATAGCACCAATGGCACCAGAAGCAGATCCAGACTCCTCTTGTTTGTTTTGTAGGAAAATATTCTTGATGGGTTTTGGTTTTGCCTCTTCATTCTGCTGCCCAACAGGTTTAGGGGGGATTTGAGGCAGGTTGTTCTGGTGGTTGACATGTTTCAAAGGTGGGAAAGGGTTGATGGGGTTAGTTTCATTTCTACTCTTGTCCTGTGGATCTTTGAGGGGTTGGATGGAACCAGCTTTCGACTTGAGGCCGCTGGAATTTGGTGACACCTGATTGAAACAAGCACTTTTGTTGGAAACATCTTCACTGTGGGTGAAACCCTGACTTGGTTTGTGCTTAACAGGTGGCTTTGGAAAAGGAGGCTTGGAGTTGTTTTCCTGTGCAGCACTGTTGAATTTTTCTTTAACTCCAGCGACCGTGGGAAACACAGGCTTTGCTTCACTTCCTTGGGGTTCAGGTTTGAACCATCTCTGATCTAAAGGCTTTATTTCACTCTTCTGAGGAGGAGAACCAGGTAGCTTCTTCTCAGGAATCTTTGGGAACACTGGCTTAGTTTCTTCTCTTAATCCTTCAGAAATCTTGGGAACCAAAGGCTTTGGATAGGTAGTTTTTTCATTAGCTTCTCGGCTAGCAGCCTCGGCTAGCATCTTCACTTTGCTGGCCACAGGGCTGCTTTGCAAAGGTGGCCCTTTAAAATCCTTTCCAGATGCATCATGAAGAGGTTTTGTGCTCGGAGGTGATTTAAGCGATGTAGGCTTGTACAAACTGTTGGGTTTGGAAGACAGACCAGCATTTTCAAGCTGGGCGAACTTCTCAAAGGCTGCTTTTTTAGCCAAAGTAGGGTGGCCCCCACTTCTGACCTGATGGCAATGAACATCCTCAGCTGCGTTGTTATTAAACTTCGCCATGATGGACTTCACATTTGCCTTGCCATCCTGCAAAGTAGAAAGAAAGCAGTCAGGAAGGTTCTTTTGCAGCCGCGTTCACCAACGCTGCAGCTAATTTGAAGGCTTTCCTGGTTTGAGGCTTCTGATCTCCGGTTAGAGATAACTCAGTGTTTAGCTTCCTGTATGGCTAACAGCGTTCAACTTTTTGCTACACACTTGTGGTGGTTAAAGGATTTCAAGACGTTGCAGACAAGTGTTGCTTTGCTGACTAGATCTTTCCTTGCCTTGCCTACTATAATGTCTCTCTCTTCCTGTTATATTTGCGGAACATGCTATTGATAGTTAAATTCTGAAACATATACACCACTGTTTAGACTAAAGCCAAGACATCTGATATATTTTCCCAAGACTTGCACCATTTAGTAAGAGAAGAATAAACTAAATCTTAGGCCTGCTTTGACAAAAATGTAAAGTCCCCCCTCCCCCCAAAAAAGCTCCAAAATTTCAGGTATAACCTTCCAAGGAGGAAGCAGAAGGAAGGCATCCTCAGTTGTTCCTTTAATTTAAAATAAATACTATACACAATAGCAAATTGGTTCTTTTTTCATGCCTGAATGGCCCTTTCAACCATGGAATTGCTAATGGTAGGAATCCAATATATTAGCATGACCTAAACATGTCAGAAAAAGCAATGAAGACATGGCTGGTGCAGTTTTCTGGTGGCTCAAAGACACATATAGTACGATGGCTGACATAAAATGTCCACATGCACATTTTGTAGCCTTTTCTCCTGAAACATTTTGCCCAACAGTATATAGAAAGTATAATATACAATAAATGGGAAGTTGGACTAAAATTAAAACCTCCCCAAAGAGAACTGCCATTGGAGTTGTCATTGCCTTTGTCATTAGAGCTAGGGGGATTGGACTGCCTTTGTCACTGGAGCTAAGGGGATTGGACTTTGAGCTACTTGATGCCTGGGATGACTTTGAAGTCTTTTATCTTTCTTCCTTTGTCTTATGACTGAGAGTATCCATGTTTCTTTACACCGGGAATTGAGAGACAGTTTAGTGTAGTAGTGGCTAAGGCAGGGGTATCAAACTCAATTTCATTGAGGGCCGCATCAGGGTTGTGTTTGACTTTGGGGGCCAGGGTGAGCGTGGCTAGGGTGGGTGTGGCCAACTTGACGTCACTCGTGTTGGGGGCACCTGTGGTGGACCGAGCACTCTGCCAGCGAAAAAGGATTCCCAAGCTCCATTTTTGGCTGGGATGGCCTCCTGCAACCCTCTGCCAGCGAAAATGGAGCTCAGTAGGGATGGCCTGGCCTGGCTTTTGCAAGCTCGGTTTTTGCTGACAGAGACACCAGAGGCCAGTCCTTTGCTGTTTCCAGCGTGGCCCATCTTGAGTTTGACCTGGACTAAGGCATCAGGCTAGAAATCAGGAGAGTATAGTCCCAAAGTCATTTGGGTGACACGAGACCAGATATTTTCTCTCAGCCCTAGGAAAGAAGCAATGGCAAACCATTTCTGAAAAAAAATTGCCAAAAGAACTGCAGGGACCTGTCCAGGTAGTCTCCAAAAATCAGATATAGTTGAACAGAAGGAAAAAAAAAAGGGGGGGGGGGTTGATAGGAAATAAAGGAGAAGTGACCACCTTTCAAAATTTACAGAATTTCTACATAAAAAGAAACATTAATGAAGATAGGACTCAGCATTCTACTGTTACATTGCACCCTTTTCTATATTTTTGGATACAGCATTTGCTTCCTGGATAACTCTTAAAATAATATAATTTACAACAACGTGCCATGTTGCAAATGGTTTGTTAAAGCAGAATTCACAAAAATCCCGTAACACAATATAAAGGAGTCTTGGGGATCTGGCTAGAACTATTGGAATATTTACAAAATGTATAATACTGCCCAACTCATAACAACTCTACAGGTTACAGATTCCTAATCTCCGCTCTAAGACCTAAACCTCATGGCTGACTGAAAAATAATATGCCATATACCTTTAAAAGTGCAGGTTGTTCTCCAGAGAGTTTCCATTTCCTTTACTACTGTCTCCTCCCCTACAATACCACATTTTTTTTTTTTGCTGATGTAGTGGAGTTAGGTTTGAAATATCTTGCACTTGCATGCTTACTCCACATTTCAGTAAGTCGTTTGTGGTATAGTAAAAACCTCTAAAGTTGAACTGCTTCAGAAAATGAGCTATAATCAAAAGTCTTCCTCAGTACTCCTCTGCAGGAACTATCTAAATGTAAATACGAGCTCTGATTGTAGGGGCATTCCAGAAAGTTGAGCAAAGAGCTGCAGTATAAGATCTGAAGAGGATAGATCTGGATTTTTCCCCCTTTGAGGAAGTGTAATCTAAAATGATAATGGAGACAAGACTTTTGATTGCAGTCCTCCCATGGAAAGCATTGCATCCAAGATTAGGCTGTTGGGGTTGTTGTTTTGTGGGGGAAGGCCAACTATTGTGGCTATTCAAGAGGCCATAGAAGCAGATTGTCTAGATTTCCCATTTGAGAATTGATTTTATGTGTTGCTATTCCTCTTGGCATAGTCTATTACAGAGGTCTCTAAACTTGGCAACTTTAAGACTTGTGGAGTTCAACTCCCAGAATTCTCCAGCCAGCATTAGTCTTAAAGTTGCTAAGTTTGGGCACTCCTGGTCTATTGCAATGATTTTCCTTTTTTGTAATTGCTTTTGTTGTTCCTATGAATTAATCTTACCCTACAAGGGCATGCGGGCCACTCAGAATTTCATATGTAAGTCCTAATAGCAAATTAACCAACCCAGCAAAGAAATAGGATTCTTCATCTCAAAGGTTCACACCTTTGAGTCCTCAGCTTATGACCATAATTGAGATCAGAATATCCATTGCTGTTAAGTGAATCATGCCCAATTTTATCATTTGCCACGATTGTAAAGCAAATCACTGCAGTTAAGTGAATCATGTGGTTGTTATGCAAAGTCAGTTTTCTCCATTGACTTTGCTTGTTGGAAACCAGCTGGGAAGGTTGCAAATGGCAATTACATGACACCAGAATGCTGCAACCATCTTAAATTCCCAGTTCTCAAGTGCCTGAATTCTGATCACAAGGCAATGGGGATACTGCAACAATTGTAAGTGAGAGGACCAGTTGTAAGTTACTTTTTTTAATGCCATTGTAACTTCAAATGGTCACTAAATGAATGGTTGTAATTCAAGGACTACCTGTATAAGATAGTTCTAGTAGTGTACTCAATGATCGGGACAAAGTCAGTGGTGCACCATCAGGCTTCTGCAGTGGCGGGATTCAATTTTTTTTACCACCGGTTCTGTGTGCGTGGCAAGGGAAAGGATACTGTAAAATCTCCAGTCAGAGGTGGCATTTGCTGGTTCTCCAAACTACTCAAAAGTTTTGCTACCAGTTCTCCAGACAGATCCTGCTGAATATCATCTCTGGGCTCATGGCTTTCTCTAGTATATATAATAGCCCATAACTCTTCTATGTAATACATTTGGTTTCCTGGAGTTATTACAAAATCCATCTGGTGTAACCTTAGAGAAAACAACAAAAGAATATTTGTAGCTCGAGGTTGAAATGAGGTGCTCTCTGAGCTTGCTTGTTTTCTTGCAGACGTTTCATTACCCTAACTAGGTAACATAATCAACGCTAGTAAGGAGTGTTGTTTGCTGTCAGTTTATCTTCTGGTGGGGATGGTTTCAGAGATTCTTTGTTTGGGCTGTTTACTGATAGTCCTTTGGCAGTTTCTTGATTGGGGTATTGCTTACTTGATTGTTGGTCTGAAGTTAACCTTGGAGTTAATCTATGTTGATCTGGGTGCTGATTACTATTGGAGAGAGTCTTTTTCTCTTTGGGGCTGGTTGATTGTCTCTTTTGCATAATCTGTAGATGTTGTTAATGCCTAAGTGTCTATTGATGGCTGATTTGTCAGAATTCTGGAAATTCCATGGAATTTTTGGACTTGGCCTGGTCTAGGATTGTCACATTTTCCCCAATTGAAACTATAGTTAAATCTGTCTACATGTTGTGAAATTACAAGAACGTTCATCATTGTCTTCTGACTGCTTATTGGTGTTAAGGGATGCATTCTGCTGCTAGTGTTCTGCCTGTCCTACATAATGGTTGTTGCAGTTCTTACATTTTATGTGGTAAATGACTCCTGTTTCTTTTTATTTCTGAGGTTGCTGGGTCTTTTGGTTTGCTTAGGATGTTCTGAAGGGCTTTAGTTGGCTGGTGTGCTGTGCCGATTCCATGTGGTTGCAGTAGTCTGTTGGTGGTTTCTGAGATATTCCTGATGTACGACAGTGTAATTCTTTTTAGGGTTTGTGTTCATTATGCTGCATTGGGTTGAACTGTCAGGGACTTTTTGATAACGTTGCTTGGGTATCCATTTTGTTGGAATGTGTTGTATAGACAGGGGTGGGCTTCAAAAAATTTAGCAATGGGTTCTCTTATGTTGCTGAGTGAGAAATTTGTTAAGTGAGTTTTGCCTCTTTTTATGATTGTTCTTGCCACCTTTCTTAAATGAATCACTGCTGCTGTTAAATTAGTAACATGGTCATTAAGTGAATCTGGCTTCCCCATTGTCTTTATTTGTCAGAAGGTCACAAAAGTTCGTCACATGATCCCTGTACCAGAGGTGGCATTCAGCAGGTTCTAACCAGTTCTGGAGGTCCAGTAGCGGAAATTTTGATTAGTTCAGTAAACTGGTAAATCCCACCTCTGACTGGAGATTTTACAGTATCCTTCCCCTGCCACGCCCACCAAGCCATCCCACCAAGCCACACCATGCCTACCAAGCCACGCCCACAGAACTGGTAATAAAAAAAATTGAATCCCGCCACTGCCCTGGACATTACAACTGTCATAAATATGATCCAGTTGTCAGGCATCCAAATGTAAATCATGTGACCATGGGGAGGCTACAACAGTCATAAGTTTGATAACTAGTCAGGACTATCTGTGCATATGACTATGAAGAACAAACCTCCAGAGAAGGCATCATGCTTATTTTAATCTTTAAGCAACC